AGGGTCCCGTTCCCGGCTGTGCGGGGCCGGTCCCTCCCGGCCCGGGGCTCTGCCTGCAGGTGGCGGTGCCTGCCCGGGCCAGGGGCTCCTCCTCGGGTCGCCCCCAGCTCCTGGCCCTGCCCTGGCATCTCCGTGGAGCCGGGGATGTGCCTGGCCAGGCTCTGCTCCCCGGCCTCGCCCCACCGGCGCTTGGCTGTCACCGAAACCGAGCTGGAAAATTAAAATAAAACAAAATAAAATATTAATAAAGGATAAAAAGGACAAAATCTAGCGCTGGGGTGCTTGGCTGTTTGCCAAAAACACACCTTTAGCTCAAAACAATATTCTTTATCTACTGTTATGTTACAGGCCTCATGCATATTCATGAGTTTATTCAAACATTCCTTTGAGTTTAGGTGTTCTTTTGCTTGGTTTTAACTTTTGACTTATCTTCGTGCTATCTTGTAGATTAAACTCATGTATTTTATTTCTTCTCGTGGTTCTGTCTTGTTTTTACACTCCCTGATAACGAGGAGTCAGTAAATTGGGTTTTGGTTTTCGTCACTGTTATCTGATCACTCAATCTACAAAATCGAGGAACTATCTAATTATCTTACACCGTTCTCTGAGTTAATTACATAAAAAAAATTAACATCACATAGTCTCTATTTGGATATTATGCCACAGCCTAAGATAAAATTTATTTATCAAGTGACTATTTACTAATTATGTAAGCTGTACGGGGCACACATAAACTCACAGATTATATTATACTAAAAAAAACCCACAATTACAAGGAAATATAAATTATACTATATCAACATTTTGGTGATTAATAATAAAAATATGCAAAAGCTAATACATAAATGTGAAAGCCAATACTATATTGTCATTTATAACACCTCCTGCAGAGATGAGGGGCTTTGTCCTGCATGGGGCACATGTGGAGCACCCCTGGGTGTCTTTGTGCCACTGCAGGGAGCAGGGGCTGTGCACCAGGGCTGTGGCTGTGCCCCACTGCCCACAGGCGGGTTTGGGGCACATGAGCCATGCAGCAGGAGCAGACAGGCAGAGCTGGTTCCCAGATGCTGCCAAACCTGCCACGGGTGGGGCACTGTGGAGAGGAAGGGTGCAGCAGGATGGTAAAAGCTGGCTGGGTGCTCCAGCCACCGTGTCAAATACAAACCAGGCCCCAGCACTGGCACCACTCTGGGAGCAGGAGGGTTCTGCTTTCTGTGTTGATTTGGGCACCAGCTGCTTCCTCTGCTTTGAAGCAGCTCCTCGTGCTTGCCAACCCCTCTTTTGAGCAGGTTTTGAGAAAGATCCAGTTCCAGCATCTTTTCCTCTGGGAGCCCAGGGCAGTCTGGCCACAGATGTTTTCTGGCAGCTGTTTTGCCATGGGTTAATGTCCCAGTGCTGTGGAGGGTTGTGCCTGCAGCACCTGCCCAGAGCACCCAACACCAGAGAACAGCAATGGCCGGGGCAGCAGGGCTTGGAGTTCAGACTTTGAACACCACAGCCCTCGTTCTCCTCCCCTGCGTGAGGATGCTGCAGCTCTGGAGGGCTCTGAATCCCAGCAGGGCCAGGAGGGATGTCCCACAGAGCCAGGAGGGATGTCCCAGCAGGGCCAGGAGGGATGTCCCACAGGGCCAGGAGGGGTGTCCCACAGGGCCAGGAGGGATGTCCCACAGAGCCAGGAGGGGTGTCCCACAGAGCCAGGAGGGATGTCCCACAGAGCCAGGAGGGATGTCCCAGCAGGGCCAGGAGGGATGTCCCACAGAGCCAGGCTGAGGCCTCGGGAGGTCCCCTCTGCCCCTCGTGCTTTGCTGCGTTGCCTCAATGTGACCTTTTGGGAGGGAGGATGTCGATTTTCTGCCACCCGACAATGAAGGCTGCTCTGAGGGCGGGGTGCTGGGT